TAATCTTTTTATATAGAGAATAAAACGTGCTCCTATTGACTGAACATTATGTTGCTGTAAACGTGGAGTTGACTTCACTCGGCTTCATTTATATTTTGAGAAATAAGGGTGCGTTTGGTTTAGTATTTTGGATAGGATTTTAAGGATAGTATTGGGTTATTGGATAGGGGAGTATTACGAGGTAAGTTTTAAAAATTTATGAAAAAACCTTTAGGTTTACTAATTTAATTAAAGACCCTAATATGTAAAATGACAAAAACACCCCCACTACCTACAGTGCCAGATTCCGGCCACCACCGTTGGAATCTGGCCAGAAAATTTCGTTATGGCACAGACCGATCGGATCTGTGACGTAACATGTCGTTATAGTGATCGGTATGTGCCGTAACATGTCGTTATAGTCTTTTCCGGCCAGATCCACCACGGATCTGACCGGAAAATGCCAGATCTACGGTCTGTTATGGCCGTCGACGGCCGAAAAAAGGCCAAACGACGGCCATCTTTGGCCGTCAGCGACAGCCAAAGATGTGGCCGTCGTTGCGGCCAGATCGCCAGATCGGTGAACTTCTAGCCATTTCTAGTCGGAAGTTAGGCCGTTGTACAGATTCCAGCAATCACCGACGGTGGTTGCCGGAATCTGACAAGTTGGGTTAATGGGGGTGTTTTTATTAATTTTTAAACTTTTTTCAGGGGGTATTTAGTGAAATTAATAACCTTATGGGGTCTAAAAGTAATTAAAAAAATAGGGTAATATTTCTGGAATAATGTGCCAAACATTATTTGGAGAATAGGATCCAAAATATAGATAAAAATATTAAGCCAAACATGCCCAAGAAGATTGGAGTCATTCTTTATTTCCTAAAAACCATTTCTTTTTCTTTTCTTTTCTTTTCTTTTTTTTTTTTTTTTTTTTTTTTTTTTTTTTTTTTTTGAAAGGCATCTAACAAATTTGAGCCAAAATGCGGTGGCCTTCAAGCAGTGCTATTATCCATCGCAAACTTTCTTATCGAAGATGAAAAAGGTGTGGATATGCTTATTAGAAAAGAGATTATTTCCAATGTTTAATAAACTTTGCGAAGAAATTAATCCACAAAGTTTTTCCTGTTACCCCGAAATTTTTAATGATCTGAGAGACCACTAACACAATCCTTGGAATTATACCATTGCCAACTTGAAAACTAAGTATTTCGAAAATCCTTGGAGAGGTACTGGAACTGTTGTTGCAACTCTATTCCTGCTGCAGGCTTGAATACAAATTTTAATTTCAATCCTGGATGTTGTCCAGGTTTAATAAAGCTTGGTAATTTGAATATTTGTACTGAGTTATTTACTTTATAGATACTAATGGGTTTTTTTATTTAATTATTTTTACTTTGTAATTTTTAATTGATAATATGAGTTTGTTATATGTATTTTCTCATTTCAATTAAAAAAGAAAAAGTGATACTAGATATAAATGAACGTGTCAATACCACATTAATTATAAAAAATACAATATCACACGAAGAAAATCATATATATAATGTAGTGTTATGGATCTCAACTTTGTATATATAGTATTATTGAAAAAATATATATATATATATTACGGCAGCCTATAAGTTTGGGAAAAAGCCACATACAGTACAAACAGTCACCAAATCAAGACGTCAAATTTTTTTAACGTGAATTTAAACTTTGAATCGTGAGCTTCTTAAGCCAAAAACAAACCTATTTTCTCGCTTTTCTGGCTTTCTCTCTTTCTCTATTCTACCTCTCTTCTTCTTTTTACTCACTACCGAAAGGTAATTGGCTGCTTCATTTTCAAGAGAGAGCTTTACTTTTTCTTTTGTTATAATTGATTTGGGCTATGGGCTTAAAAGCCAATTTTCTGTTCAAGCCCACACAAAGGTGGACAGCCCAGCAATAAGAGACATTGTCTTTTTCTAGGGTTCCCGGCTCTTGCTCTCTCACTGCAAAGTACAGACATATATAATTCTTAATTGACAGGAGTTATTGTCAAGGACAGAGCTAGAAAATTTTATCAAACTCTGGCTAATTCTTTTATTAAAATGTACGTAGGTATATAAGTTCTTATTAAGATGAAAAAAAATGTAGTATCGACAAAAGAATTTTATTAATGAATTGTTTATAAGAAGGGATATGTATTAAGAAAAATAAATTATATAATGAACGATACATTTGATAATATGTGTTTCATATAAATATAAAAGCAAATAAAAACAATGTTATATTGTTAATTAATCAAATTTATATAAGAAGGCAACATTGATAGAAAATTTCTGAAATTGAAATCACAATCAATGGATCAATTTCAGAATCTCAAAATCAACGTGCAGGTATAAAATACTGAATTAAGAGTCAAGGATTACAGACAAACCTGTTTATGCCATAATTGTCATTTCCTTAAATCTTGATAAGAGCGACAGATCTTCTTTTCTAATAACGCGTTTTGCATGATGACTTATAAATAGGTTAAGTTGTTCTATATTATAATTGAAAATGAAACCTAACAAATTTTAATAATGTTTTATTGGATTCTCCCATTAAAGGTCCAATAAACCTTAAAGTCTGTTACAAGTCAAGTTCATATTAATCGTTAACCTAGATTATTATAATAAAGCGTATTAAACAATTATAAAACAATCACATAGAACCCATCAGGATATCTCATTTGCACTACTCATTTATCCGATTTTGATTAAAACAAAATTATAATTAATGTTAGTCCACAATCAGGACTATTTTCTAACAAACATAATCCAAAAGTAATCTAAATAAGTATGAATACAATTAAGTTTAAAGGAGTAAAATCTAGAGAATTGACAAACAAAGATATTGACAGAAATGAAAGGAGATAAACGACTTATTCAGTACTTACTAAATAATTTTTTTTCCCCCTTAAAAGAAGAAATTAAACCTTCACAATTTTATTTTTCTAGATGGCCACCCGGCTGGCTTCTAGTTTCACTTTGATTTGATAGAGGCAAGGAACATACTTTACTTGAAAAAAACATGAAATGTAAATTGTTACTTTCAATCTTTAATCGAATCCAATTCTTTTTTGAAAGATCTTTAATTTCTATACTCGGCATGAGAAATTACAAAGGTAATGTATTTATTTACCGTTTTATATATAAAGTGCATGAACATTATCAAAGTTTTCCTTGACAAAAGAATACCTTAACTGGGATTAATTATATTGGAAAAGAAATGCAGTCTAACTAAAAAAATATTGATTGCTTTTGAAAGAGAATATATTGTTAATTAATATTATTGTAAAATAGGAGCGGACCCAATTATAAAAGGAAGGGGGCATGTGCACCCCACCCCCAACTTTAAATTTTTAATTTTATATATATATATATATTATTTTACTGGTATTTTATCTTATTTTTAAAATAACTCATATTTTCTTACTTATGAATTTTTTTTTTTTTTTTTTTTTAACGATAATCAATAAATTTATCCAGTTTTTTATTTATAAACTTTACTTGACTCAAAATTCTATTCAACCTTATCTTGCAAACCAAATTATAAGATTTATTGATTTAAGGCTTTTTGCACCAATTAAATACTTGTTCTTTTGAAATTTATTCATAAAAAACTATTTAAAATAAAACAAGAATTTGATTCAATTAAAGACATTCGAGTGTTCGAATCCATCATTTCTAAAGTGTTGTATACAAGACATTCCTATATATGTTCACGTTTTAATTTAAAATTTTGAGTTTGCCACTGTAGTAACTAAAGCTTTCGCTTTAATTAATCTTAAGAAGATTCTTAGAATAATTTTGACCTAAACGGCTTTTGCTAAATTTTTCGAAAACCGTGAATGCTGTGTTTATCATCGAGCTCTTCCCAAGATTTTACAGAATGGATAGAGTTGATTTTTTGTTAAATAAGATTTTCCTGAGGGCTATGACGCGGGATTTACTTTTACTTGAAAATCAACTACCATCTTTTGTCCTGTAAGGATTGTTTAATTTAGCGTTTTCTTCCTCAACCACCCCAGATGGAGCCACCAATAAGGCAGTTGAGGCTGCAGTGAGTGACACAGATGAAGCCACCGTTGCTAATGTCCAAGATGCTGGGATCATTATTCCTATCTTCCACAAACTTTCTTGTTAGTTTTTTGTCCTCCCTTTCTCGCGCAACGTAAGAGCGGTGAAGGTTAAACATTTCACCGATTTGTATCGACATGCTTTGGCGGGAAAGCCCAAAAAAACAAATCAGAAGCTGTCACTTCGAAGAACTCTCACGCCATAGAGTCAAAAAGACGCATAGATTTGCCTAATGCAGTCAAGTTGGACGAGTTAGGGATAAAGTTTAGGCGTCTCCAAAGTCCAAACTAAACGTGCAGTTGAAATTATCTTCGATGGAGCTGAACTGCGAATCCCATGTATCTAAATAACTGAAGAAACGGAATGTTTGAATCGAAATGTTATGGCATTAGAACAGTGTCATTATCCATCGGAAATTTCTGCAAAGTGACCACTGTTACGCCGGCGTTTTAATGCCTCTAAGAGCTCGTTGCAATAGCATTTTGAACCGTATCAGAGCACAGCTGTATCAGAAACTTTCTGCAACTAATTTTAGCTGGGAGCTCTTATTGTATATACGTTTACAAAGCTTCCTCACTCTTTAACTTTCTTTATTCTTATTGGTATACAATATTTGTAAGAACAACTTTTAATTTCTTAAAAATATTTAACTGTATAACAAGGCGAAGCATCATCTGATTTTTACACATAATGCATCATTCACCTAGCCTTCTTATTTGTGTTGATTATCGTATTCTGTGAACCTACATTTACAGCTCAACCTTTGTATCTACAAAGTGGAAAAAGAAAATCGGTCCTGTAAATAATACATAGAACTCACAAGGTCACCCATAAGAGGTGTGATAGAGGATGAAGAAAATCTGTGTGGTTCGTTTTTTTTTTTTTTTTTTTTTTAAAGGCTTCACTGTATGTCGCATAAATTGCTTTAGAATTTGCTTCTGCAGATGGCAAGATGAGACATTTAGTCACTTGCAACAACCGTTTAGCATAAAAATGGGTTAGAGTATTGATCTTAGAGGCTTGAATTGGTTACCTTACACTGATGTTTGTCGCAAAGGTTGTGCTTCGCTTGATGCTTCATTATTGTGTTGGCTGTCAAGTGGCATATACTGTGACATTATAGCCATGATCTCTGAGTCCATGTAAGACTGCAAGTGGAAAAAGAAGCATGTAGTAAGTCTTTAGGAAGCAGAGAAACAATCAAAGATTGATGGACAAAATAAGAGAAAACATGTTTAACCATACCCGGAGTCTGTATTTGTAGAATATATAACCAGCTAAACCAGCGCCGACCACAACTGCTAGGACCACGAAAGTGAGGAACCATCCAAATTTCGATCCACTTCTTTCTGTACATTGGACGGACAAAGATTAGACTATGAATTAAATAATTTAGGATCAATGAAAAAGGATCATAGCCAATACATCAAGGAAGAAGTTTTAAATTTCTTTGCCTTACCAATACAAGTATCTTGTTCCTTTATGTAAAGAAGGTCCCCTTTACACTTGCACTCATATCCTCCCCAGGTATTCTTACAGGAGCAGCCATCACACTGACAGGCGGAACGCTCCTTGCATTCATTGATGTCTGGTGCAAAACAGGAAGGACACAACAGAACAATATCAGATATAGATTTCGAAAGATGAAAAAGTTATACTACTGGGAGAAGTAATACACCTTCACATGTAAGACCATTGCCACGGAAGCCTTTTGGACACAGACATCCCATTAACTGAGACTCCTGCTCAGTATAAAATGAATTTCAGTATGCTACTAAAGAAGAATAACATAGCATAAGAGAAAGATTAAAATCATATGAGGAAGGAAAACATCACTGAACTGAGCAGGCTGAGAAGGTTAATCCATTTTTGGAATCCGACCAGCAACCTCCATTGTTTAATTCACACCTTCCAGGTCCATAGGCTGTAAATTAAGGAGTAAAAGTAAATAGCTGACACAGCAACAGGAAAACAGAATTGTCATCTTATTAGAACAATTGTACCTAAACAGGATAAATATCCATCTCCTCTGTACTGGACACCCTTCACAGTAGGGCACTCGCACACTCTTCCCCTAAATGTGTCCTGAACAAGTTCCAGATTCCCCTTGAAGTTCCACATTTACAGGAATCATTACTGACAAACAGAATTTTGTAAAATTTATATGGTGTACCTTGCAAGCAGTGATGTTAGCTTTGCTGTCCTGCCAACAGCCGCCATTCCTTTCAAGGCACTCATTAGTCTCAAGATCTGCCAAAACAAAATGAAGCAAATTCAAAAAGGGGAAAGAAAAGCAACTAATACATTTCTGAAACGTCAAGTAATCCCAGTCAATACAGAATAAGAAGTCTAAAATAGGTATAACAACCTGAACTTAGACAAATTGCAGGATCAGTTGTCTCCTTGAATCCAGCACATATGGCCTTGAGCACGGCAGTTCTCTCCAATTTTCCTGCAGAAAATGAAAATTAAGGGCTTCAGCATCCAGATATAGTCTATTGTTTAAATTACAGTAAAAGGATAGCAAGGATTACATATAATGATGATTGATAAATTACAAACCTCGATATTGAACATTATTGATGACTAGTGTTGGCAAGATGGTAACATCGCCACGAGATCCTCGACCAATCTAAATTTTGAAAATGAAACAGAAAAAACAATAAGTTAATTTGATGCTGCCAGGAGTTCTATAAATTGAGCCACATATAACATTTTTGTTTTTCTGAGAAGTTGAATTACCTGGCGTTGTTGCTCAGTTTTCAACACTTCATTTTCCACATCAGCTTCAGGATCCCCCATACATTTCTTGATCTTCTCAATGGGCAGACCTGAGTTAATAAGATTAAAATCATTATTAACAACACAATAAGATTCCAATTTAGCACTACTAATCAAGCATCGGTGTCCTACCAAGTGATTTCATGACATCCTCAGCGCATTCTTTGCTGTACTTTTTCTCCTTCATGGAGCATCTGATATGAAAATCAGTCACATAATCCCACCAAACCCAGGACCGGTTGCTTTCATTGGCCACTCTGTGCACGCAAAGCTGCCTCAAGTTCTCGAAAACCACATCCTTCCCTTGATACCCTTCTCCAAAATCCTGTTCCGGATCAGGAGCGCAATATCTTCCGCGGTTTATGCACTGAGACTTGCATTGACTGCTGAGAATAAAAGCCTGAGGGCAATACCATGTTATGTAGTGTGGTGTAAACAAAGTGTAGCCTCCCTTCTCCAGGATTTGAGCATGGCCCTTGAAACTTTTCACAAAGTTCATCTGCTCATCGCAGCGAGTTCCACACTCGTCATTGCTGTTTGTCCATAATTCATACTCAACTCTCTGGTCAGGATGGGGCACTGACTCTCTCCAGTCCAATTTTATCACAACATCTTCTTCTCCTTTTTTCAAGGCCTGCTTCAAGCTCTCGCCAAAGGAGCGCTCTATCAGCGCCGAGGGGATTCCAATTTTCTCTACATACCCATCTGCATCAGTGCTCTCCTCAGGAGAATCCATGGTGATCAGAGGTTCATCTATGTTATCTGCAACTAAAACCGCCGCTGCTCCAGCCTGTTGACCATTCCATACCTTCAAGGCAAAGTAGCACTCTAAGAGTGCAAGAAAGGGGAAAAAGAAAACCAATCAACATAAGATTAAACAACTAAAACTTTCATGCCTCATTTGCTCTAGCTCAAATCACTCAAGACACTTGAAATTGAAACATCGTTAATCTCTCATTAGCTAATTTGTTTTTTCTCTCATTAAATAATTTGATTTTAGTTCTTCTCAATTGAAGACTAAAAGGGTTTCTACAATGAGAAAAAGTGACAATTATGTGGCCTACAAAATGCTATAAAGCAATTGCAAAAGTAGAAACAGGGCAAAACAGAGCACCTATTTCAAAACAAGACTTAAAAAAGAGAAGTCTTACTAAATTCATATAAAATCCAACCTAAAAAGCAAATAAAACGTAAAGATAAACATAACCACAAAATGGAAATCTGAATTCAAAAACTAATCAATCAAATCCCCAACAATCAATCAAGCCAAGTCAACAAACTTTAAACTTTAAAGTCAACCCACGAAAACTTTCCCAGACAAACTCACCTCCTCTATCAAGAAGCAGAATAGTCGGTCTGGGAAACTTAGATTTGAAAGGCTTATCACCCTCAAAAGCTGCACAACCAAAAGTTCCTTTATCAGGATACACAACAGAACCCACCAGAAAACCTCCATAGTCAGGAATCCCAAAGTTCCCAATTGAACCGTCGCGCTTTCCACGCAGGCTCAAAGGCGACAACACACTCAAACTGCTCTTCTCAACCACAAACCTTGCACCTACAGAGCTCAAACCAACAGTCAAAATCAAAACCAACACTTTGAGCTTCTTCAACAACATGGCTGAAAAAAGAAAAAGAAGAACTGGGTTTGTTTTTGTTTCTGTTTTTGTTTCTGTTTCTGTTTCTGTTTTCGTTTTTGTTTCGGGTTTCTGTCAGTTTAGTCGAGGCCTTGAGGGGAAGACTTAGAAAGGACGTTAAAGAGGGAGAGTTGTGGAAGGTTTAAGCTAAAGGAAGTTTAAGTTAGAATAGAAAAGTGAAGAGTCAAAATCAAAAAGTGTGACGTGAAGAAGACGAGAGGAAAAGTAAGGTGGCTGACAAAGTCAGCAGAGCTAACGTTTCACTTGGTACATGGCAACAACTAGCTAAAACTCCTCAACTACTACTTACTGCAGGAAAACTTGGAACCAAAGAGAGATTATGACACTTGTGCCTTGGAAATTTTTGGCATATGTGAATTCTCTTTAAGAAGAGAAAATGAAGAAATTTTTTAGCAATGAAGAAATTTAAACTAATGGTTTAGAATTTATCAAAGATTGTCGACGTTATAATAGATAAAAGAAAAATTCTTTGTAAATGTAATATTGTTCTTGAACTATTAAAGGTTTTGTTTAAATTTATATTTTCGAGTTTTATATATTTTTGTCTTGAAAAATATGGAATATGTGTTTGACATGCGTAAAATTTTTTTTTTTTTTTTTTTTTTTCATACAGATGATGGAAGTTTTGAATAATGTTATACGTATAATTATGTATTCGAATTTATGTATATAAATCAGTGGCTCAAATTGAATGAAAGAGTGTCAATATAATAAATGAGAGTGATGGATATGAAAAAATATGTGAATGTAGTATTATTCATTACTATTAGTTAATAATTTTCATTTTATCTCTTCATTTATAAATTTTTTTTTTCATGTTTTTATTACGTTGAACGTGTAATATTTTTTAAGCGTTATTAATATTTTTAAATGGTTTTTGATAGTATATTTTTCAATAATAATAAGTGTGCCCATATTGAACACTCTCATAGTGGATAAATAAAATAAACCCTTCTAAAATTACACAATCATTTTATTTGTAAAGTATTTATAGTTTTCATTTTTTAAATCTTATTTTCATAAAATAAAATCAAATATTTTCACAAATATAAAAAGGACAATATTCTAGTGGGGACATTGGGATTAGTATTTGATGAAAACATTGGATGAAGTCCTTAAAGTATATAGTTTCATTACTATCAAATATCATTATCTAATTCAATTTGAAAATTATAGATAGAAAATTTAAAATTCCAAACAAGTTTAATTTTATAAGTCTTCCACTAAATGCCACGAGTTCATTGTCTAATATTACAAGTCTACATATCGTTCTCACCTCATTATATCAAGAAATTGTTATCGTTATTATTAGTATGACTCAGTCTATTTTATTTTCTTTGATATATTATTAATCGTATATATAATTTATTAAGTATCGTAATTTATAATTTATTTAAACTTTATCTTTAAAACAATAACACTTCCTTGTCACATGGTTTAATATATTATATGAATAATTGGAGATCTTTGTAATTTGATTTCCATAATTTATAATATCCTTATCACATGATTGGTTATTTTTTTCATAAATTATTTTAATTATAGATTAATGATGGATTAGAAATTCAATAAAGGAATCACAATAAATGGCTTGTACTAAAAAATTGCATAAAATCTTTCTTGGGGATAAATAATTTAAAAAATCAGATTGGGATTAAAATCATTAAATTAAGGATTAATTTACTTCCCCCGTAACTCAAGAAGTTCACTTGGGCCCCTCAATTATCAGAAACTGTTGAAGACCCCCTGCCGTCTATTTTGGCTGTTAAATTAGATCTTGACTGTGTTTGACCTGTTAAATATCTGAATTGCCCTTAATCAATCACTTTTGAATTTGTAAATATTAAAAACTTGATAAAAACGTTAAAATATTAAATCTATTAAAAACATTTAATATCAATAAAAAACAAACGTATAGAAAATTATTAAAATATTAACTAAACCAGAAAATAATTAAAAAAGCTAATATATTAATTATAAAAATTTAAAAAAAATCTTTTAATTATAAAAATTTAAAAAAAATCTTAAATTCAAGAACAAATCTACNATGTTTCATTAAAATTCAATAATTCATATATATTAATTACGGCTAGTGGGTAATTTACATAACATATAATATTATCATGAGTTTGTTCTATGTACATAGCACGGGGGTATTCTAGATTTCCTCTTTAAAAAAAAAAAAAAAAAATAAAAAAAATTCAATTATTTATGCAAGTATTTTTGTCAACTTATGAAGTTTGTGTGCGTACATTCATTTCTGATGTTTGCACATCCTTTTATTTTAAGCACAATTGTTTCTTCAGTTTACACATGTCATGACATTTCTTTTTAATGTGTGCACATCCCATTAGTCTAAGCTAATTGCATTTTATGTGGGCATATTAAAGTCAGATGTGGGAACAGTCGTCCAATCAGACCTTTAGCATAGATGTCAAGTTTTCATTAGCTATTAAGATTTTTTTTTTCAACAGTGCTAGTCTTACAAAGAAACCTACAAATGAGACATACAAAGACAACCTCCACCCTTCATCTTCACCATTTCTCTCTCTCTCTTTCTCTTTTTCCGTTTTTTCTTTGTTTTTTTTTTTTTACTTTGTAAGCTTCTTTGTAGACTTCTTTGTAAGGATAGACTTATTTTTTTTTTTTAGGCTTGAGATATCTCTGTGTGGTCCTTACACAAGTGTCAAATATCTCAGATGTGGTCCTGAAAATTTGTTTTGTTTTTTAGAAGTGGTCCAAATAAGTTGGTGAAAACTTTCCTAAAATAACTAAACATGTGTAGGGATTTATCGGTTGGTTGTCTAAGGGATTCTTGTGCAAGGGTTCTTTACAATCTCCCTCATCCCTGCATTTAAGTTTGAACCTGAATATTCCTTGTATTGTTCTTTGAAAATTCCAAAAGCTTTTATTCAATTTGAGGTCAGTTCCTTAGTTTTTGTTAACCTCAAAATACTTGTCTAGCTTTGTTTTTTCGAGTGTGTTGGAACATGGGTCCATTGATGAATGCTTGAAGGGTTCTCAAGTTGTGGAGCTGAAAGGTGTCTTCGACATTAAAGCTTGAGCGGAGATCAGCTATCCAATGGGTGTCTTGGATATACGTAAGTTGCGGCAAGATGATGGATCATCCAAAGGGTGAAGTTAGAGTATTGTGAAAAGAGGGAATATTTTGCATTTGTTTACTTAACTTCAACTTTGTAATGAACATTAAATATTTGCTTTAGTTGATTTGCTTTGTCTAGACTTGGTCTCATAAATGTAGGTTGTTGACCGAACCATGTAAATGTGCTTGTGTACTTTACTTTATGTGATGAATATGTTGATCAAATAACCATACCCACAAGCACCTTTGAACACAAACAACACTTATTCCGCATAATTTTAATGAACTTGGTAAGTCATAAACTTTCAGTTTGCAATCAAATTCCATATTTTAAAGTTAGCGTGGTGTGATTTAATTGTTAATAGATCCAGATTTTAAATAGATATCATTTTCATTAAAATTCATATAAGAAAGAACATATACTTTATCAAAACCAAAAAGATGTGGATTTGCTTGCTGAAAAGTTAATTTCAACTTTGGGGCAACAATGCTCTAATAGGACATACTATTTACACATTTTTGCGTACAATTCCAGCGGTTGCTATACTCTAGCAAATTTGTGAGGCATTATAAAGAATTTCCTGTATCGTAATGAAGTTAAAAGGATGAAAATTTGCTTGACAAACTTAGCCAGACAAACGACCAAAAATAACTAGATGTAGTTGACTAAAAAATCACACCCCTTTACATATAGATAATATGCACGAAAAAGTTTGTATTAAAATGCTATGGCCTTAGAGCAATGTTATCATTCATCCCAGATTCACATATCAGTTATATTGAGGTAAATGAGTTTTGCTGAGATCAAAACTAAAAAAGATGTAGATTCGATTGTTGAAGGAAATATTACATATTTTATGGCAACAATACTGTAATTGTGGACATGTTTAACCAACTTTGCCGAAACAGACTGCTTCCTAGTTATTACTTCGGCATTTGTGAGTATCTCAGAAGCGCTACCACAATCGGTGAACATAAAGAGGATATCTTTAAATTTGTGCATATCAAAGTTGGAGCAATAATCTTTCTCTGTACAAAAATGTATAAAGCCATTGACAATGTTGTTTTCTCTCAAGCCATATTTTAAAACTGTCACAGGCTTAATGAAAGCTAAAGAATGGACTGTTACAAAAAAAAATTGAAAACTATTTGTTATAATATATGCTCTATTTCTTAATGAACCCATAATATTAAATTATACACAGTAGCTTCATTAGTCATTACTGATGAAATAAAGAGAATACAGTTCGTATTTTTACAGCTAAGAGGAAAATCCGGAAAAAAAATTGTTTCAGAATATTAGGAGCTAGATTTGGGGCAAATTCCCTTGATTCTTGGATCAAGGAGATTACAAACATCGATTGAGGCATTACATAACAAGAGCTCATTAAAACACTTGTATTGTTATGACAACTAAAAAAACATATGAACGTAATTAATGCCACTACCAAATATGTAAGCATAGTATTATCAAGATACTATATATCTACCTTTCACATGCATTATCATCGATTACTGATATACAAATATAAATAAATGTAAACAGTTATCCGTTTCTGATCCTTCTGGTTCAGGTTCTTGGTTGACTGTTGGAAGAGGACCCAGTTAGCAATTTCTGGTGCTTTGATTTACGCGTTCTTTCAACAATTAAATACTTTTTTATATAGAGAATAAACGTGCTCCTATTGACTAACATTATGTTGCTGTAAACGCGGAGTTGACTTCACTCGGCTTATTTATATTTTGAGAATAAGAAGATTGGATTCATTCTTTATTTCCCAAAAATCATTTCCTTTTTTTTTTTTTTTTATTTGAAAGGGATCTGAAATTGATCCAAAATGTGACTTAACATTATGTTGCTGTAACGTGGAGTTGACTTCACTCGGCTTTTATTTATTTTGAGAAATAAGAAGATGGAGTC